CCTTCATGGTGTGAATAACATGAACAAAAGCAAACCACATATCAACCTCTCCTAGCACCTAACATTATTCCTAGGGTATACCCCCAACTCTGTTACAGTTTATGCTTTTTAGGAGCACCGGTAATTCTTAGTTATGAAATAATATACATTGTTACTTGATCAGAGACCTTTTTGCACTGCTTAGGCCAATGCTTGGCTCTGAGTAGACTAAGGGAAAGAATTCTTGGAGACCCCTTTGTGGATCCCGAGAAGCTTAGAACACTGAGGGTTTCTAACCTGGTGTCCTTCATCCGAGGGACAAAAAGGTTTGATTAAAGCCCAGTATCTTTTGGGGAGAACAATGGGCCCACTTATGAGGCCCCCGCTCACCTGGGTTGTACCCATCCCCAATTACCAATACCAATACCAATGACATGTTTCATTTAATGCAAGAGTTTTAAGCGAAGATCATCTTGTATTGATTAATGACAGTTATAGTAGTTTTATTCAGGGTTTGTGTTCGAAATGTTAATCCGTTGTAAACACATGTTAAGTGATTATTTCCTGAAAATGTCAAAAAGTTATGTCCAGTGGTTCATGACGCATTTTTCTGATAGACCGAGTTGACTACAAATATACTTAGCGCAAAAATGAAGTAAATTTGTGTTTGGTAGATTCTTTCTTTGGTGTAACAATGATTCTTGAAAATTAATCTGATGGGTACCTGATTGGCAGCACCAGGGGGTGTGAGAAGCTCAAAACAAAAGTCAATAGTAACAGCAAAGTAAGCTGCTGTATTTGGCTAATTTTTCATGTGCGTAACCCACGTACTCAGCTCTATTGCTCRTCCCACAAATGCACGTTCCTTACAAATGTGGCTCCATTTAAAAGGGCAACAAACAGGTTTTCCTACAATAAAAGATTTGTTGCCAAGAAGCGTTGTTACAACAAAGACATAATCTACCAAAACACTATTTTTCTTCCTTTTTGTGTCACGTRTATTTGGAGTCAACTCTGTCTATCAGGAAAATGCATCCAAGTTTTTTTAAATAGCAACATCTTAAAGAAAGATGTTGTGAATCAGCCTCAGATAGTCCCACACTCAGCTTTAGGTCAATAGTTTTTAAGGTCAGTTGGTCGTGGCGGGTTAAACAAACCAAAGAACGGACGCACACAGGCAGGAGCATGGTTTCTTTCTTTTGGCAGCGGGCAGTAATTCGTTTGAAACAGATCTCCAGAACAGGAGTCTCTCCAGACTCCAGATCTAAATCCAGTCAGAAACCCCCCTGAGACGTGCTAAAACYGGCGGCTGACAAGTCTGCAGGAACGATGTGACGCAATCACGTCAGACTTTCAAAGAAAGCTTTCCAGTTTTGAGAGCTCAGGTTGTTTTGACAGCTCAGTGAGGCCTCGTCTGAAGAACGTTAGAAATAAATAGTTTGGATGTCTATTATTATCTCTAACACTAGCCTTGTTGTGGTCACYCCGCCTGAGTCACCTCATTAAATTTTACAGGAGATGATGCTGAGGCTCTGCAGCTGATTTCAGGCCACAGCTTCAGCTCTGTGTGTGACAGATGGCCTTTTTCTCTGCTTTAAATTTGGTGTGTAAGCCATTGTGAGAAGTGATGTAGAAGTGAAGTGACATGACCTAGAATAGCAGGATTGAACCCGCAGTCATTTTTCCTCCTGTTTGTTTCTGCATTTATTTATTTATTTATTTATTTMTTTGTTTTACAAATCAGCAAAGATCAGAAGGTGCATCTACACCCTCAGTCTTTGGGAGAAATTCTGCACAGAAACAAGCGTCTAAAAGAGCAGCGTGCTTTTGTCATGTGATGTAAAAATGTTTAAGTTAAAGGCCTAGCATTCCTTTAAYGGGATGCTTGTCACCCACTGCCTTTCATGTCAGAAGTGTTGTAGTCATTTTGATCAAATTATAGTGAATGCACATCATCACTCTCAGAGTACGTGTGTATGACTCTCAGCTAAGACTATGTCAAGTTTCAGCTCAATATCTGAAAAATCGACTGAGTTATAGTCATGTTTGTGCTTTGTATGTTCAGTTGGCTTTGACGGCCATCTTGTATCGGGTTGACTTCAAAAGTTAATCAGTTGTCGAAGGAGATCCATTGATTAATTTCAGCAGTTTTTATCACAATTTGTCAGATGATTCATGAGATGTTTTACTAACAGACACACGCAAGAAAAACATTAACATTCCTCTTTGATTTTAGCAATGGTTGACAAAAATGTCAACCATGCCTTTGTTTTGAAGTTGCAGTGGCTGCAACATATTTGTAATGCACAATATGTTACAACTTTGCACAAAAGTCATGCAAGGTTTTAGTATTTATGAGCCAGAGATAGATCTCTGTGACCGTTTGTTTGTTTACATCTTCAACAGGAAGTCCATTTGTTAAGATGAACATCAGTAACTTTTAAATGTGTTCCTGAGTCCTGCAGACAAAAATCTAAATAATGTAAACTCTGAAGAGATCCATCCTKTTAGTTGGCTCTATCATTCGGGTGGTCCGCTCTGAAAACGCGCCTGCGGTGGCTCATGCTCCCACCTACGACACTTTATTGCAAAAATAATGGAGATACGGTTAATGAGGGTCCTGGAGCCCGAGGGCCGTGAAGGATATGCGCGTTTCAAAAATGAGTTCACTGAAACGTGCAGCTGTGCTCCTCACTTAATTCAGCCGTGTGGGGTTCCTCGGCGGACCCCAGCCCCGCGCTCTGTGTGCCATCACTCAGCCTTCCTTCCTTCCTTCCTAGGCGCCAGTGGGCAGAGCGCCCGCCTCGGTGTGAGCGGGCCAACCTATTACAGACTCAGTGGGGATGGAGTCTCCAGCAGCTTATCAGAGCAGGACAGTGTCAGAGGCTGTAACATGCTCCCCGTCRGTGCAGATAACATTCTCTGTCCACCGTATTTCAGTTGTCTGCAGCCAAGGCCTGCCTGGATGCCTTCAGTGGGCTCTTTGTGCTTCAGGTGCCAAGTGGGCTGCACAATGGTGCTGAAGTTGAGGAGTTTAAAATAACTACTTCCTTACAGGTTCTTTGATTGTTAATGCCTTTACTCCACTAATCCTGTTGTGCAGGTTTTTTAAAAATTCTTTAACTTTAGTCACGGCTGTTTGCTCAACAATGTGCTAGAACTCGGGAGCCACCGCTAAAATAAGTGCTGCCATTAATGTTCCCTCTAAATACCAGTAAWATGACAGTCTTATTTGAAGTTTTATGTTTAATAAATTGATACAAGGAATTACGGACAGAAAACCATTTTCACAGTTCGTTAATTGGTGTTTTTGTGTTGCAGCTACTCAMGTGTTTAAATCCACGGCCTGTTGTTTGAGTGTTTGTTGGACAGAAACGTTGTTTACAGGTGTGTTAGATCAGGCTTTTAGACTATTTTCCAACATTTCCTTTGCCTGCTGTCAGTCAGTTTATGTGACAAAGAAGGATCTGGTTCATCAGTGAGGGAGAAGACCGACACTAGAACATTCAAAAATGTTTGTCTCACAAAAAAAAAAAAGGAAAGAAAGCTAAATCTTACTGCTATKGTATGTTAGGGTATTCATGTCTGTTTGAGCTTAGAGTTTGAAATGTTTTCATTCGTGTCTGATAATTACATGATATTCAGAAACTGTCTWCCACTGACTTGTCTTAAATACATTTATAATGACGGTTGTCTGATTRGGATCTGTGCATTTACTGGCCTTACAGAGAGCTTTTATGTACCTTTAAATAAGTACCTTTTTATTATAATAATTTCTCTCACAGAACTGCTCCCTTTTCAGTTTAAACAATTCCCTTCAGACGGCTTTAAAAATGATATTGATTTACTTTTTGCTTGCTATTCGTCAGAGCTCGGTCAAATCAATACTTCAGCTCATCCTGTGGGCTGTTCAGTGATTTTATCTTACTCTTGATGACCCAACAGATATTAATACACAATTGTGTCACCTAAGACTAATGTGTGATGTGTCTCTTCCACAGCGTGGATATTCTTCTTTTTCATAGAAGAGGGTTTTGCTCTGGCGCAGAGAACCAAAGGTGAGACAAGTTGTCCACGTCACTGCTAATGTCATCACGACCTTTAGTCTTACTTTCTCTGCCATCCAGTCACTGACCTCCTCTGTCCCTCCCGTCCTCTTTGCTCTCAGATTCTCTGGGTGACCCTGGCGGTCTGAAACCTAACCAGAACGACTGCGGCACGTGGGTGCGCAACATCAATGGCGGGGTGTTCATGTCGCCGAACTACCCCAACACTTATCCTCCCAACAAGGAGTGTGTTTACATCTTGGAAGGTAAAAATGTTAAAACGGCTTCTACTCATCGGGACACAGATGATCTCCTTTAGTGAACAACTGACTGATTTCCTTTTATATCTCCTCACCTGGATATGATTATCTTTCCCAGTGTTGAAGGGCTCAACACCCTCCTAATGAGCCACCCTGAGTTTGTTTTTTGGCACAGATAAAGCACTTTGCAAACGATGGAGAGCAGAGCATTGTGGGCCTGTACTTGCATCATCAGAACTTGCTCTGTTCATCCCCATTAGCACAATGTGCCAAAAAAGATTTGCTTATTGAAGAGATTGTGCAGCAGAACTGAGCTTTAGAGGCTCGTCCCTAAACTGCAAGCATCCTCGTCAGCATCAGTGTTTACCAGAAACAATGCCTCCATCAGTAGTTTGGAGCCTGCTGCACAGGAAACATAATGGAAAGCATCATTAGCAGCTATAGGAGCTGAGGTCTGGCTGATGTGTTTTCTGAATTGATGAACTGTTTGTCCGTGATGCTAAAACACAGCTTTTAATGCAGATGAGACGTGTGCTTGGTGGAACCTCTCCTGCTGTAGTTGGGGATGAATTTCACACATGGCTCAAGTGCTCCACCTGTGGACAAACCAGGTCCAGACCTGTTGTTCGTGGAAAAGCTGTCACTCTAACGCGAGCGGGCTCCTGGAGCGTGCGAGTGCAGCGGTACACCTCAGAGAGAACCTGTGATTTGCTGCCGTTGGGTCTTCAATGGCCTCAGTCACGTTCGCATCCCATCATCTCCAGCGTCGAGCCTTTTATTCTGCTTCACACCGAGACAGAGAGATGCTCACGTTTTACTGTAGGAGCTAATCAGATAGCTTTGTCATCATAATTTGTGGTTAGCGAGGCTCATTGATTGTGTCATGTCCCCAAGTTCATCAGCTAAATAGATTGAGTGATTATGTAGTCAGCTTCTTTCTGTATCAAGCTGTGTCGCGCGCACGTTTGTGTGTGTGTGTGTGTGTGTGTGTGTGTGTGTGTGTGTGTGTGTGTGTGTGTG